GTGACGCCCAAACCCTTGCCAGGTTCTCGGTGAAGACCCTCCTGGAGAAGTACACGGCGGATCCCATCGATGACTCCTCCGAGGAGTTCGTCAACTTCGCCGCCATCCTCGAGCAGATCCTCAGCCACCGCTTCAAAGGTAACGGGGGGCGTCCCTGTCCCCACCCCTGTGGCCCAGGGTGGGTGGGGATGCCCACGGTGGCACCAGGGGTTGTGTCCGGGCTCTGTCAGGGGCTTTGCCAGCACAGCAGCCCCCGACCGCAGCCCCTGGGTGCCCGCAGGCCCTGTCAGCTGGTTCAGCTCCGATGGGCAGCGCGGGTTTTGGGATTACATCCGCCTGGCCTGCAGCAAGGTCCCCAACAACTGTGTCAGCAGCATCGAGAACATGGAGAACATCAGCACCTCCAGGGCCAAGGTCAGGAGGGCGCCAGCCCCAGCCCTGTCCCCATTGCCATTCCTATTCTTGCCTCCCCTGCTTCCATTCACACCCTGTCCCTGGTACACGGACCCATTCCCTTTCTATCTCCATCCATATCCTACCTCCATCCCATCCTAATCCCATCCCATCCTCAACTTTATCTTTTCTCATCCCCTTCCCATCCCCATCCCTGTCCCTGTCCCATCCTGTCCCATACTCATTCCTATCCCATTCCATCCCCATTCCATTTCATCCCATCCCCATCCCACCCCATCCCATCCCACCCCATCCCTATTCCCACCCCATCCCATCCCATCCCATCCCATCCCACCCCTATTCCCATCCCATCCCACCCCATCCCATCCCTCTTCCCATCCCATCCCACCCCTCTTCCCATCCCATCCCACCCCTCTTCCCATCCCATCCCATTCTCATTCCCTCTTTGCCCCCCATACGACCCCATGGGATCACCAGGGTGCAACAGGAGCTGTGGGTCCCTGTGGGACCGAAAAATGGGTCAAAAGCCACTCCCGGGTGGGGAACGCCCATCTGCTGGTCCCCAGAGCACCAGGGGTGGGTGGGATTGTGGTGAGGGGCAGCTGTGAGGGGGGGACCCAATGGCAGCCCCCCCTCAGGGCTGCCTGCGGCGCTGCCTTGCAGGGCCGGGCGTGGATCCGCGTGGCGCTGATGGAGAAGCGCATGTCCGAGTACATCTCCACGGCCCTGCGGGACACACGGACCACCAGGTGAGCAGCCCCACGGCCCCCCCGGCCATGGCCACGCCTGCACTGGGCCCGGGGTGTGTTTTGGGGTGGGTTTTGGGGTACCACGCGTTTCCCCGCAGGCGGTTTTACGACGACGGGGCCATCATGCTGCGGGAGGAGTCCACGGTGCTCACGGGGATGCTCATCGGGCTCAGCGCCATCGACTTCAGGTAGGGGCGGGTGACACGGTGGGACACAGGCCCTGACTGACCCCCCTGGGGTGCCCTGACCCTCTGCTCCTTCTCCCACTGCCACTGCTCAGCTTCTGCCTGAAGGGAGAGGTGATGGACGGTAAAACGCCCGTGGTCATCGACTACACGCCCTACCTGAAGTTCACACAGAGGTAAGAGCCGGCTCCCTGGTGCCCTCCCTGGGGTTTGGGGGGGGTTTTGGGGTCCCTTGATGGGTTTTGGGGGGATTTTAGGGTCCCCCCCCGTTTGGTCAGTTTGGGGGGGCCTGGGTGGTCCCTGGTGGTTTTTGGGGTGCAGCAGGACTCACCTGCACCTGCAGGTGTTGGAGGTCTGGGGGCTCCCTTGGTTGGGTCAGAGGGGGGGTCCCTTGGTGGGTTTTGGGGGACATGGAGGTTTCCCCACCCCTGGATCAGTTTGGGAAGGTCTTTGGGGGTCCCTGTTGTGTTTCGGAGAGTAGCAGGACCCACCTGCACCTACATATGCTGGGAGTCTGGGGGCTCCCTGGATGGGTTTTTTGGGGTCTCTGGATCCCTCGGTGGGTTTTGTCTCTGCCCTGGCACCCTGGTGGGTCTCCCTGGCTGTGTGACAGCCCCCACTGAGCCCCTGCACCCCCCAGCTACGACTACCTGAGCGAGGAGGAGGAGCGGGGCAGCGTGGAGAGCAGCACGAGCGAGGACAGCTCACCTGAACACCCCTACCTGCCCCTGGTCACCGACGAGGACAGTTGGTACAACAAGTGGCGCAAGATGGAGCAGAAATTCCGCATCGTTTATGCCCAAAAGGTACCGGGAGCTGGGATGGGGCTGTCAAGGTATCAACCCCCCTGGGATGCTCCAGCCTGGAGCATCTGCCCCTGCATCCCCTCTCCCACAGCCCAGTGGTGTCCGCAGACCTTCATCCCACTGCTGTGGTGACCCAGTTCTCTTGTTGTCACCCTGAGTGGCCCTGGGGACATTGTGGTGGCAGCGGGGCCACCAGTGGTGACAGTGGCCTCCCGTAGGGGTACCTGGAGGAGCTGGTGCGGCTGCGGGAGTCGCAGCTGAAGGACCTGGAGGCGGAGAACAAGCGGCTGAAGCTGCGGCTGGAGGAGGTGATGGTGCAGAACCAGCTGGAGAAGAGGGAGCTGGAGGGCGTCATCCTGGAGCTGCAGGAGCAGCTGTGAGTGGGGGTCTGCCGCTGCTGCGGGGGGCTCGGGCTGGGTGGGGGTCCCTGCAGACTGGGTGCCCCAGGGGCTGTGGGTGGTCCCCAGGGCCCCATCGATCCCGAGGGGCAGGGTGAGGGGTGGTCCCTGGCATCCCATACACCCTGTGGGGTGTGATGGATGTGGCGTTCCCAGGGCCTGGGTGGGACACAGTGGGTCCCTGGTATCCCATTTGCCCCAGGGAATGTGATGGGTGGCAGGTCTCTGATGCCCAGGTGCTCCATATATCCCATAGGACATGGAGGGTCCCCAGTGTGCCCAATCTGCCCTGTGGGATGTGATGGGTCCTCAATACCCCATATATCCCATGGGATATGATGGGTGGCAGGTTCCCAATACCCAGGTTCCCCATATGGCCTGGGGGACACGGAGGGTCCCCAGTGTCCCCTCTCCCCCATGGGACATGATGGGCCCCCAGTGCCTCATATATCCCATGGGACATGGAGGGTCCCCAGTGCCTCATATATCCCATGGGACATGATGGGTTCCAAATGCCTCATATATCCCATGAGACACGGAGGGTCCCCGGTGTCCCATGTGCCCCGTGGGATGCGGTGGGTCCCCAGTGCCCCACACATCCCGTGGGCCGTGTCGCCCGGCAGGTCCCCGGCACCGGTGGCCGTGCCGGGTGCTGAGCAGCCGCCTTTGCCGCAGGACGGGGCTGATCCCCTGCGAGAACCCACAGCTGGCCCAGCTCTCCAAGGAGATGGTGACACCCCTGGTCAACCAGTGGCCCTCGCTGGGGACCCTCAACGGCAACGAGAGCGGCTCGGACAGCAAACTCTACAGGAGGTAACATCGTGCTGGGGGCAGAGCCCCCCCGACCTGTGCCCAGCACCCTGCCCTGCCCCGAGGGAGGGGGGACGGGGAGAAGGGCTGTGCCAGCCCCGGAGGGCTCAGCATCGTCCCTCTGCAGGCACAGCTTCGTGAGCACCGACCAGCTCTCGGCCGAGAACAGCCTCAGCTCCGACTCCCAGCGCCTGGGCGAGGGCAAGCGCGAGGGCGAACCCTGGGGGCCCTTGGGTAAGACACCCCCCACCCACCAGTGGGTGCCCCACAGGGCTCAGCGTGTCCCCCCACACGCACCCAGGTGTCTGAACCCTCCCAACAGCCCCTTCCTTGTGGCAGGAGTGCAGTCCCAGCAGTGTAGGGACACCCAGGGTCCCTCCTGGAGGGGTGGTCCCCGTCCCTCTGTGGTGGCAGGGCTGGGGTGCGAGGCCACAGCCCCCCGTGACACCCCTCTCTGCCCACAGGGAAGGACCCCACGCCCTCCATGCTGGGGCTCTGCGGCTCCCTGGCCTCCCTGCCCAGCTGCAAGTCCCTGGCCAGCCTCAAGTCCAACGAGTGCCTGGTGAGCGACAGCACGGAAGCCAGCCCGACCCGCAGCCCCAGCTGAGGCTCTCGACCCCCTCGGCCCCCTCGCCGCCCCCCGGCCCGGCTGCCTGGCCCAGCGTCGCGGCGCAGGACTGAGCTCGGCCCCCCTCGCCACCCTGGGACCGACGAGGGACTCGCCGAACCCACCAGGGAGGCTGGGGACGGGCATCCCCCTCCCCATCTCGACATCCCACCCCCGGCCGCGCCTCGGACCCCCAGCCTGGACCCCGGCTGGAGACATGGACCCGTTGGGATGGGGGATGCAGGACTGGGACCCAGGCGAGCTGGGGATGGGGGGGATGAACTGTGCCGTGGGGGGGACACTGGGAGCGACAGCTGCTGGGGAGCAAGGGGGGGGGTCAGGGCCAGGCCCCCTCCAGGGGTGAGGGTCTGGGCACAGCCCCGCTGTCCGTCCTGCTCAGCCCTCAGTGCCCACCTGGCCTTCCCCAGTCCCTCTGCTTTGGGGGGCTGCCTGTCCCCCACTTTGGGAACTAGCTGTCCCTCCTTGCAGCAGCATCCCCATGACAGGGGTAGAACTCCCCTTTCTCCTCCCCTCCCCATCCTCCCCTGGGTTTTGGGTTGTTTTGGGTGATTTTGGTTTTTATTTCAGCCCCATCTGCCTTGTTGGAGCAAAAAGAAATCAATAAATGCAGCAAGCAGAGCTGGCCTGTCACCCACCCCCCCTGCTGGGAGAGGGGGAACAGACCCCTTGTGCCCCCCACCATGAGGTCCTGGCCCAGGCAGGGGTGCTGGGGAGGGTCCAGTGAGCCTCCTCCAGCCCCCCTGGGCAGGGAGAGCATCTTTGGGACACAGCAGGTCAGCAGGGATGGGGTATCCCCCTGTCCCATCAGCAGTGGGGTGCTGCTGGGGGGAGCAGGGCAGTCCTGGGTCCCCTTACCCTCAGTCAAAGCCCAGCAAGGACCCAGTGGGTGACAGTACTGTCACCCACAGCAGGGACATGGCTGGCACCCCTGGGGGGTGCCCCTGGGGCCTTTCACAGCCCCCAGCACACAGGGAGAGAAACCCTTCCACTATGAGACAAATTTTTCTTTTATTTAAGAAAATAAGAGGAATTCCCCCCGTGAGTCCCAGGGGAAGGTGGGGGCAGTGCCCGCAGAGCTGGGGCAGGCCCCTGCAGTGAAGGGACAGGGCAGGGGGTGCCACAGTGCCCCCCGGCCCCCTGGAGCAGCAGCGAGGTCTGTCCCCACGCAGGGTCTGTCCGACCCAGGGTCTGGCAGGGGACAGGGACATCCCCAGTGAGAGGAAAGGTCCAGAGGCAGGGAGAGGGTCCTGTCGTGTCCCCATGCAGAGCCGGCAAGGGGAGGCTGTGCGTGAGTGATGGACCCCTGGGCAGAGCAGGGCTGGGGGGCCCGGGCAGGCAGAGAAGGCTCTGAGGTTTGGGGTTTGGTCCTCGCCTGAGCCCCAGCTCCATCTCCTGCCAGGCCAAGTCACCTGGGACACCCCATCCTTGCCAGAGTGTCCATGAATCCAGCAGCAGGAGCATCTGTCCAGCCCCAAGGGATGAGTGTGGGGGGCTCCATGTCCCCCCCCAGTGTCACAGCAGCAGGCACAGGTGTCCCCCAGAGTGGCTGGGACAAGGAGTGGGGCCCTGGCTCCGTGTGTGGGGAGGCAGAGTGCGGGATGAAGGCACTTGGGCTCTGCACAGCTGAGTGTGGATCGCCGCTCCCGGGACTCCCGGCCGGAGTAGGGCTGGCACTGTCCCCTGGGCACGGCCACACACAGCCCTGCCCCAGCCCTGCTCACAACCCCCGCAGCCGCCGCTCCTGGTTCAGCTTCTGGAAGAAGGTCTTGCCGAATTCGTAGGTGCTGATCATGATGGCACAGGCAGGTGCCACCTTGATGACACGGGGCAGGAAGCCTGCAAGGACAGCGCTGTCAGCCCTGGGGTGACACCAGGGCACCTGGAACCCCAGCACAGGGCCAGGGCACGTCCTCACCTGCAAACAGCCCCCGGGTGCCAGACTCGGCGCGGATCCGCTGCATGAGCAGCCAGGTGGAGGAAGGCTTGGAGGCTGAGACTGTGGGGAGAGGGGAGTGGGTGAGGGTCTAGGGATGCCCATGAGGAGTCCTGGATGCCCCCCAGGCACCTGCCTGCAGGCCTGGCCCCTCACCTGGGTGCACCTCGCTGTCTCCCAGCTCGATCTGCCGCTGGGTTTTGACCACGTCGAAGGGCAGCGTCAGCACCGCGGCCACCTGTGGGGTTGGCACGGGGCAGTGAGCCTGGACCTGGTGACAGCTCTGCTGTCACCTCCCTGCGCCATCCCAGCCCACCCCTCCCTCCCCATAGGGACCATCCCCCACCTTGAGTGAGCCTCAGCACCCCAAACTCACCGTGCCAGAGATGGCCCCAGATGTAAAGCTGACCGTGAACGTGGCCTCTTCCAGCCAGGCCTGCCTGCAGAGCCACGACCTCACCAGCTCGTAGTTAAACCAGTACAGAGCTGGGGGGAGAGGAGACACCAGTGCTACAACTGGACACCCTGGACACACCAACCCCTGGTTCCCTGCCACCTCCCAGTGCCACCACAGCCATACCTGAGAAGGGGACGTCCCGCAGCACGGTGGGTCCCCAGCCTCTCCAGAGGGACAGCCAGCCATCCTGGGCCACTGCTGACTGGATGCAGACGCGCAGCTCACGGTAGCTGAGCTGCCGGGACTGCATCTTGGTGCGGATCAGCTCCAAGGGGCTGATGACCGTCACGGCACCCACTGCAAGGAGGGGACACCGGGAATCAGCTCCATCCGCTCCAGAGGCTGTCCCGGAGCCATCAGCGCCGTGCTGGGAGAGCCAGGTGCTGAAACTGGGCACCGAGACCTGCCACGCTCTGCTGGCACCACAGGGTGGGCACGGGGAGACCCCCAGGGAGGAGGGGTACTCACGCCTGGCGAGGGCCCCGGCCAGCAAGGGGATGTGGGGGCCCCGACTTCCCGTCCGGGCGTGAAGGTAGTCCCGGAGCTGGTCGTAGGTGGTGAAGTAAATGACGGTGGCTGGCACGGCCATAACCCTGTGAGGAGGAGGATGAGGGGTGTGAGGGGCACATGCACTCCCTGAGGGCCGGCAGGAGGCTTGGGACTGATATCTGTGTGCCCAGGTAGGTGTTAGCACCCAGAATGCCCAAACTCACAGGGTGGGGGGCAAGCCACTCCACAGGGACCTGATGCCCTCGTAGCGTGTGATCTTCACGAAGGCATCCTGGGGAGAGAGTGGAGCACCAGGGAGAGGAGTTAGAGGGAGGAGATGGGCAAACACCTCCCCAGCAAACGCCCCTCTGGGACAGGGAGGCCCCTGCCCACCCTGCTGTGCCCACAGCCCCTACCAGTGTGCCAGTGAAGTGGGTGGGGGCCTTGTACCAGGCGGTGCAGCCGTTGCCGTTCTGGCAGACGTACAGGTGGTCCATGAGCCCATTGCAGTAGAGGAAACACTTCCCTGAGGCAGGAAGCAATGGCATCACTGTTAGACAGGAGACCTTTCCCCTCTGCCCCACACCCAGCACATCTGATCCCAAAGCCTTCCTTCCAGGAAGAAGCCAAACCCTCAGTGCTTGAGCCCAGTGGGACCAGCCCCAGGCCAAGGCCAGGAGGGGGAGAACCCTCTGGCCAGGGTCTGACCACAGCCAGACCCACAGGGTGGGGGACACTCAGCTCCACAGCAGGGACGGGGGCACAGCAGGACTCACTGCCAGTGGCAGGAGGGGTTTTATGCCTTGGTTGGTCTTGGCTCTGCTGCCGTGGCACAGTGGGGACACCATGGCCCCTCCACTGTGCTCTCAGGCCAGGCAGAGGGACCCAGGCAGTGGAGATCCAAAGGGACTTTCACGTAGCAACAGTACAGAGAGGGGGAGCACAGAGAGCCAGGCCTGTTGCACAACAGACCCCCCAGCAGACCCCATGGATGTGGCACAGCCAGCCCCAAAGCAGGGCTGCAGGAACAGCTGGGACTGGGGACAATGGCAGCCCCCACGCCACAGGGATGCCCCTACAGCCAGAGGAGCCCGAGTTGCCACCAGTGGAAAAGCAAACTGGGATCGAGGTTTGGGAAAGCGAAGCCACTGGCAGCAGGAGCTGCCTGGAGCCCCCGGGCGTACTCACATGTGGCTGGCTGAGCGCCCCAGGGCACTGCCTGCGCTGGCAACACTGAAACACACAATGGGGACACACTGAGCACCGGCACTGGGATGTGCCACCTCCCGGGGCCGGGACACACGTGTGCACTGCAGCTCTGAGCCGGGCAGTGGGAGACCTCCGTGGGTGAGGGGGCTGGATGCCCCCACAGCCACTTCTCAAGCAGTCCCTATTGTCACCAAACCAGTCCCTTGGGCCCAGCCCACTGACCCCACAGGATGGGGGTAGATGGAGGGTAGAGCCCATGGGGAGCAGTGTGGAGACTGGAACAAAGGCACTGGGGGAACAGCGAGCAGCTGGAGTAGGGTGAGCCCCTCTGCCCTGCTCCCCAGGGACTAGGGGCTGCCAGGCACAGTGCTGACCCCCCTCAGCACCGGGCTGCGGAGGGGGAAGGACAGAGCCAAGCACGAGCCCAGCTCCCCCAGCAGGGCCCCCCGAGCTCGTCAGGATGAGGGGCCCATGGTAACCTGCCACCTCGCAATGGCCCCAAGCTCTGGAGCCGAGACATCCCTGCCACTGGCTCTGCCAACCAAGCCATCCCCACGGGCTGCTCGCCAGCTGGCTGGGGGGCTGCCTGGAGCCCCCCACCCTGCCCTGAGCAGGATTACCTTTGGAGAACGGGGTCCTCTGGGCCTGCAGCCGGATCTTCACCACGTCCAGCGGTGTCACTGAAACAACACCACCCTTTAGCCACAACTCCCCCCGTGCCAGCCCCCCGCCCCAGCGCCCACCCTGTGGTGCTCACCGAAGAGGGAGGTGAGGATGGCGCCTGTCCCCGAGGCCAGCATCTGCTGCAGCGGCGTGATGCCCACGCCGGGGCTCGGTGTCGTCTTCTCAGCCATGGCACCGTCCCCCTGCAAGGCACGGCGGGGGATGCTCGAGGCCAGGGGGGTCCCTGGCTCCCCTGGGAGCCCCCCCAGCATCCCCACTCCAGTGGTGTGAGGTCAGTGTCCCACCTCCACCGTGCTATCGGTGCAGCACAGGGCTGGCGAGGGCCCCCCATAATCGTGGTGGCCCAAGGGGGGGACAGGGACTGGCTCCTGGGGCTGGCCCAGCCCCGATAACACCCCCTTGGCCTCACGCTGGCAATGGGCCCAGTCTGGCTGGAGAGGTGGGGACAGTCCAGGCCAGCCTTCCATGTCCTTGGAAAGGGAGGACTCTCCCCTCCCTGCACTTGGAAAATTAAGGACAGGAAGGAACAAAGTCCAAAGATCAGCCCCAGCTGGGAAGGCAGCAGAGCCTGTGCAGCAGAGCAGTGCACCCATGGGCAGGCACCAGGGGAGGGGGGATCCCCCTCATGAGCTTCCAACAAGCTCCCCAAAAAGGGTTTGGGCATCCCAAACCTTCTGCCTGATTCCCCTGAGGTTTGGCAAGGCTGCAGCCCCCGGAGCTGATGTGCTGCCTTCAGGAAGCAGGGGATACTGCACCCTTCCCAGGGAGGAGGACGCAGAGAATTGACCTCCAGCACGTTCAGCACCAGCTGCTCCCTCCTGCCACAGCCCGGGGATGATCTTCATGCTGGGACAGGGCTGGGGCCACAGCAGGAGGGCTTCCAAGCTTTGGGAACCTACAGGGTTTTTTAAAGCCGGGGAACGCAGCAAAAAACCTTCCCCATCTGACTCAGCAATTTGCAAGGTCAGAGGAGTCATAAATCTCTCGGTTACAGGCTCAGGAGTTGCCGGGTGCCCAAGGCTGCGAGTCAGGACAGGTCTGTCCTGAACCCACACGTGCCAACCCCACCGGGAGCCGGGTCTGTGCTGAACCCACACACACCTGTCCCACCAGGAGAGCTGGATCTGTCCCAGCCCCACACGTGCCGGCCCCACCAGACCTGGGTTTACCCTGGCAACACACACACTCAGCCCCACCGGGAGAGCTGGGTCTGCCCTAAGCCCACACGTGCCAACCCCACTGGGAGAGCTGGGTCTGTCCCGACACACAGCCCCACCAGGAGAGCTGGGTTCATCCTGGCACCACACACTCAGCCCCACGGGGAGAGCTGGGTCTGTCCCAACACTCAGCCCCATCAAGAGAGCTGGGTCTGTCCCAGCACCACACAGTTGGCCCCACCACGAGATCTAGGTTTACCTTGGCACCACACCCACCAGCCTCACCAGTAGCTGGGCCTGTCCTGGCACCACACACACCAGTCCCACGGGGAGCTGGATTTATCCTGGCACACGCCGGCCCCGCTGGGATCTGGGTGCTGTCTGGGCACAGGTCCCCGTGTGCCCGTCACGGAATGGCACCGCGGTGCTCGTCCCACTGACCCCACAGCCATTGCGAAACCGTGGGCAGGGCACTGGGGCCAGACCCTTGCCCCAGACCCAGCCCTGCTGCTCAGCCTTACGTAAGCCGGGGGAAATCTCTCGCTCCCAGCTCTGCAGCACCTGATAAACTCACTTAGTTATACGTGACATGCCCCAACACAGCCCCCCTGTTGGTGCTGGGGGAGTGAGGCACCTCCAGGGCTCCCTTCTCAGCTGGGAGCTGCTCCCTTATCCATCCAGGATAAAATAAGCCCCTAAGCCCCCAGCCCAGAGCCCCCTGCTCAGCCTGGAGTGCTGGTGGGGCTGAGTACAGCACAGTGATGATTGGGACAAAAAGGGGTAGAAAGAAATAAAAGTTAAGATGATCAATGCAAAAAATTCCCAGGGACAAGGGGCTCAGGGGGCTGGGGGGGGCTCAGGGGGCTCTTCCCCGCATTGGAAGGGCCCAGCTGGGCACTCCAGCCCCGAGCCAGAGTGGAATCCTGCCGGCAGATCCCCTAGTGCTTCCCAGACCCTGGGCTGCTCCAGGGTTCCCCCAGTCCATCCCTGTGAGTGCCCAGAGAGCATCGGGGGCTCATGCTGGTGGGGGACAAACCACCTTCCCCTGGAGCAGAGGACGGTGCTGGAGCGTCTCCCAGGGCTCACAGGGACCCAGCCCAGACCGCTGCCCCGGGGAGCCCCCCAAGGGCAGGGGCAGCCCCCCCTACCTGTGGTCTGCACCCTTACCTGGGTAGAGCCTGCAGCCCCCCACTGCCCTGCGGAGCTCCCTTACCTGGGCTCTGTACCTCTACCTGGGGTCCGCACCCCTACCTGGGGTCTGCACACCCCCCGAGCTTGGAGCCCCCACCCCAGGGCTGTGTCCTCTCCCCCGGGCTTTGCAGCCCACTCCAAGCACAGAATCTCCCTCTCCTGGCTCTACTCCCCCTCTCTCAGGGTCTGCCCCCACCCCAGTCCCGGTGCTTGCCCCCCCCCGCCCTAGGAGCGGAGCCCGGGGGGCCCGAGGCCGCCTGCTCCCCCATCCCAGCCGCCCGCCCCCCGCCCCCGGGGGGAAACTGAGGCAGCGGCGGCGCGTGCCGGACCGCGAGGGG